TAATTTTTTGTGCTTATCTTTGAGCCTATTTTAATTTATAAAGGGATTCTGCACACCTACAGGAAAATATCTTTCTAACGGTATGCGTAGATTTTCCCTACGATTCACACGAGCTGAGAAAAAAGGTTTTAAAGAAACATGCTTGCCTATTAATATATAGATAGATTCCGTTTGCGCACAGCCAGAATTCACGTTTTTGTGTTGAATTTCATTCTAGTGCGTTCTGTATATACGAATACGTTCACTCGGAAGAAATATATGAAAACGTAAAAAACTAAAATGGTATTAACTGCTACTGAGAATACTCGTCACAGTTAATAGAAACTGCATTGGAAATGTTCATTGACAGAATTATGATGCATCGGTACATTACACCTTCCATTACTTAGCAATTCAATTTCTGTAACACAATGAGTGACAAAGTGAATTGACAACAATGCCACCTGTGACAGAGTAGCGTAAAAAGACTCTGTTGTAATTGTCTATAACTTATTATGTGAACTATCCTTGTGGTATAGTGGTTGTTTAACCAGGGTCTAAACTTAAACTGAGTCTAAATTGTGGATCTTCCCGAGGACCAAACTTTGAACTCTCTTACTAAACAAACTTTACCCGCAACCTAAAACATATATATAATAATATGAATCAATATAATGATAGTGAAAACCAATGTAAAATAGCATATAAAATGTTACTAATTACTTTAAAGTCCACCATATGTTTATAAGAACTACATAATCTTGTATTTTGAGGCTATAATCACAGGACTTTAGCTCCCCTAGGACCCTCTATCACAAAGATTGTACACTACTGAATCTTACAAACTCACCCCTACAAGTACACGTCCACACAAAAAATAGCAAAATCTGTAGGAATTTGCAAAATTGAATGTACAAACTGCAGTAATTGCTAAACTTCCCCAAATACATACACTCTAAACCATGAAACATCTCTTTTATAACATAGTGAAGTAACAAACGTCATTTATATACTCCCGTTATTTCCAAGCTATAAAATAACAGATTTACCATACTAAAAGAAGCTTTCACTAAAATTAATTGTTCTAAAATTATATAGCCTATAATTATGTATGTACAGATTACTCATTACTGACCAATAGGAAATTAAAAATATTGGTTGCTAAAAACTTCGCCTCTGGCAGACCTAGTGGTACCGACAGGTTGCTGAATATTTTACCGATTGTGGAAAACTGATTTACAATTCATGAACGGACGGATCGGATTAATCTCTTGTCCGGCTCAATGGTTTTGCTGAGTATTTAAGCCAAAAATACTCACTGAGTAATTAACGGGATTTGAATTTGTTTAAAGTAAATTGCTCGGGTGTACAGTCTGTGAGAGTAGTAATATTTATAGATAAACCGAGAAGGTTGTTTTGGCGAATATACCAAGATGTAACTATTTTAAGAAGGGGGCTACCACTGTTTGACAGTCCACTGAAGAGATTTGGTTAGGCTAAAATATATTAGCTTAGTTCATAATAATGACAAAAAAATAATATTTACAAATAATAGTTTTACTGAACACATGAAAAAAGGTGAATAAACATTGACGTCTTTGTAAATTTTTTATTTGACAAATAACACAAGATTACAACATTTTGTTTTTGTACCGTTACTTGTTTGTCATTATCATAAACAGAACAAAACTAAACCAGCCTAATTTAAGGCCAGAAAAAATTGAAAAGATATACAGGGCATGTAAATAAATACATAATATTTAAATTGAGTCATCTTCGTGGTTATTCATTTACAGTAGACTCCCTCTCATCCGGACACCTTTTAACCGGAAATCGGTTTAACCGGACTACAGTCGACGGAAATGACATCTCTTTAACCGGACAATTATTATCGGCACATTGGTTTAACCGGACTAGATCGGCAGGAAGTGGGCGGTACTGAAACGACTGTTCTCGTGGGAAAGATTTGTGACCAGTGAACACATGTCTAAATACAATGCTCTCCTAAATTTAAGTCGAATATCGCCGTAAACGGTCCATTTTAATGAGTTTTTGGGGATGTCGGCTTAACCGGAAAAACCGTTATCCGGACTGGCCGGAAAACTGGAGTCCGGATAAGAGGGAGTCTACTGTACACTAACCTAATATTCCAACATTAGTAGCACATGCTCCTTTGTTTGAATTAATAATTCATTTGCCTACATCACACTTGATAAGAGTAGACAGGTAAAGTTAGATGACACACACTATATCTATGTATAAACTAAAAGTCACGGTTACAACCACGAATATTAGAGCAGAAACTGTATACATCATGGAGATAACAAAAATTATGTCACTGGTCTGAAAATAACCATGTGTGTATAGTTATTAAAATGTAACTGTCCAAACCTAGTTACATATTGGTATAAGATCCGGGCCAGTGACGTCATCTGTTTATGTTTATGATCCACACCGCTTCTGTTCCAATATTCGTGTTACAACCCATGGGCCCCCAGCTCTAGAGTACAGGTGTAAGTATGTCACAGATGAGATAATACACGACTGTTTACATGTGATTAGCGTAGACCGGTTTTCAAGTGATGACGTGGCCGAACGTGATGGTCGGGACCTTGATAAAGTGTAACGAATTCAAGTGAAGCGTAACTTGAAGATAAGATTGCGAAATGTGTTGGGAATTTCAAGAAATAGCCATAGCAGTATGACCTGTCATAAAATCTTCCGGTTTTAGGTGTCAGTTTAGTAAGCTATTTATGACTTAAAGGTACACAGTTAAATTGGTTTGTTTGGACCGTTGAAGCAAAATAAATAAATGAATAAATAAGGCCAAGAGTGCTTTTGAAGCTTACATGTATTTAAAACTTAATATTAATACTGATTCGGTGTAAGGTTCAACGAATGATCCATGTAGCTATGTTACTGACTATAATAAATACCCCCGCCGCAGCAAACCTTAAGCGAATTTCCATTTTATTTTTTTATTTTTTATTTTGCCTGATTAGATTTAAACTAAAATGTCTCCTTAAAAATATCACATTTATTCCTATTTAAATACATTAGTTTCACGAGTACTTAGGTTCGCTGCGACAGGGAGGGTAGAAAGGTGTTTTTTTTTTTTACTAAAATGATTTGTTTTTTAAGCTCTACAAAATGGTTTAGAAAGAAATTGCAAAATTTTAAGTTTTTTTGGGTAAAAAATGGGAAAAACCAATTTTTACCCCATAAAACCCCCCATAAACCCCTGTTCCCATATAAAGTAGGTTCATGCTGGTTCGTGAACTCGTTCGAATAAACGTAGGTTTACACTTTGTACCAAATTTCATCAAAATCGGAAGATCTTTGCTTGAGTTATCGCGCTAACTCTGTGTTTTTGGTTTTATGTTTTTGGTCTCTAGGGACCCCATAACGAAAAAGTAAATCGGTCCCGCGTCCAGGTCTCACCATGAGTACTGCGGTAATAGCTTATTCCCTATAGGGGAAATCCGCTAAAAGCATCGTAGGTGAAAACAATTATTAAAACCTCAATGATTATGGGCTAGTTGGTTCATCATGGAAAAATCGAAAAGTTTATTGCTGTTCTCAGAATAGAACCAGCGACTCTCTTACGAAAGGTTAGATCTATAACCTCACATATTCTTGTAATAACACGATTTAAGAAATTATGATGTTTAGCACCAAGAGTGTTGAAAAATATGAGTTGATTCAAGTTTTAATAAATATTCTTATATGGTTAGGTTAAATTGATTTTGTTGTATCCTGAAGTATATTTTTAAAGGGTTGTTCGCCAAAGCTGTCGAAACACTTATCTTGTTATCATGTAGGTCCTCTGCATCTACAGAGCATAATTAAATCATACATTAATTAAACTAATCTACGTAGTTGCCTGATCAGATTGGTAATAGTTAATTAGGAGTCAAAGGTAAGCCCTGTCAGTCAATTTCAATGGGATTATCAATGACAGCTAATAAATTAAATGTGTAAAATGAATATTTCGAGTTAAAATTGGGAATTTAACCGATTATCAGTTTTAAAGGTACAGTACTTACTCAAAGGTTGTTTTCCTACTTTTTTGTTAAATAAAGGCGTACATTTGAGTAGGGTTTCGTTTATATTCATGCTTATATCTTTTAACAACATGACTTTCAAAGCTTCAAAGATTTAAATTTGGAAGTATATTTTAATGTGTGTTCATGTTTGATTAAATTGAGTTCGCTGATGTAGACTGAAATTACTTTTCTCCGATTTGATCAACTTTACATTTCACATATGGCTCTTTTGTAACAATGCTAGAGAACTAGAAAAATTTTACATATTGATAATTTAGCCCAGTCGTTTTTTTAGAACAGTTGGGAAAACCACGCTACATACTCGAACAGAGTATATTTTGAAATGTCAATTAAAATTAAAATTAACCGAAAAAAACATACGTGAACATTGCCAAGCAAAATTTAGGCAAGTATGGTTGTATGTTGGTAAAATATTTCAAAAGAACCAGAGAATAAACATAGGCCTCCGATATAGATTAATCGTCTTTATGGATTAGCTGTAAACAATTTAAAATATGACGTATCTGGTTGATGTTAAAGGCGTTTTGTTGTTCACAATTAATTTGATTGTCAGTTGTAACTGTTTATGAAACTATTTTCATTTTCACTGAATACCCCCAATTTGTAAAATTCCTCTTTTCCTCTGATATTTATAACAAGAAAATTAACCCCAAATCATAAAATCTCCTCTAACAAAAAATTTAAAATGTGCATTAGCACTATAGTCAAAGATTAGCACACTCAGACTTTACAAAATGAAAGACACATCAATGCTTCATATACAGTAAAACGACTAACGAGTCCACCACTTGATAGTCAATTTTGAATCATAATCCTATCAAAAAAGAAGATAAAAGTTACATCTGTTATCTTTGTTGTGATATCGCTATCAACAAGTGCCGATAGTTCGCGGAGTCGCCGTGCGACAGCAGCGCTGTAAACGCCGGTGTTGTCAGTTCTGTTCAGTGTTTTAGCGGTAGCGGTGGTGTCAAGTGCGTCATAGCAGACGACACAACAGACGACATGTGGACTGACCGTGTCGCACATAGAGTATCGAGGTGGTTCAACTCGGATCGTCGCAGTCACAGAAGTAAGTTATACTCTGTGTATGGTTGGAATTGATTGCAAATCATAGGAGATGAATACAAGTTTGTTATGGAACTCGTATGTGGGATTGTATTGTTGTCGTGTAAAGATCCAAGTTCAAGGTTATTACTGTTTGAGTTATAATAGATCAGATTTATTTAAGGTTAATCTAATGTTTCAGAGTTGCAATAAAATCATGATTATAACATAACGTATTACTGTACGCTACTTTAGGGTCAAATCTGTCTTCCTCTGAAAATTTAGTGGACAATGTTCATCTAGGCACATCCATTTTCATTCCACTGATAATCTCATAAAACCCATGATAAACACTCGACAAACTAAAACTGTTCAAAGTAACAATATCAAATATCATCATTCGAGTAGAGAAAATCAGCCATCTGCTGTTAATAGATTTCTGTCAAACATAGTTTTTTTAGTGACTTAAGGTAAATCTTACCTTATCTGCTACAGATTTGCAAAAAATTATTAAGTTTGTGTAACCTCTTAGCAAGACATGTCGGGGAATAGTGTAACTCGTTATGAAAAGATCCAAAGTGAAGCATAGGTTAAACATACTCCTGACATGCACTTGCAACTATATCATCCTTCAAAATGTAGTAACAATCGTAATCTACCCAGCACATTTAGTCGACATCAGCGCACTCAAACGTTACATTTCGTGATGTCACGCATACAAAACAGGCTTCAGAATCATACAATACAACATAAACTACTATAATATATCATAGTCTATTAACTATTCTATGTCAGTGTTTTAGTGTAATTATTCTTCAAAACATATGAAAGGCTTAGATTTTTTATTTAAATCTTACACAATGCTTCTGCAGATTTGCAATGGCCGCAAACATCATGTTTGATTCACTAATTGAAATAAATGAGTCACGTAATTGGGCTAGCACGTTTTAAAATTATTGGAAGTACAGAATAGTTTTAACTCGGTGCAAGTTTAGAAACATTGGAAGGAGTTCGTCGTTGATCAGGTCATCCAGCTTACATGTTTTGTTACTAAGTAGGGCCTATATCATTTTAGTAATTCAATAACTGCATTATGTAATATAGAACTACGAGCATTTTTAAACAACATTTTAAAATTCAAATTAAATTACTGTTTTTATAAAACTATACAGAAGTACACAAATAGGATTAATTCATAAGTTCTGGAGTGCTTCAAAATGCAAACGAGTTTTGACAATAACAGGAATTATCATTTCATATGTTTCAGCAGTTGTTGAGTTTATAATTGTATGCGAAATTGCGGAACAGTTTTGTAATTGTATGGAGGTTATTAAAAAAGTACAATTGACAATTAATATTGATTGATCTCTAATTGTCCTTATCATAACAAAATGTCAATTGAAAGGAGTAATATTTTTCACTTATTGTTGCCTATAATTGACATTTTTGAAATTAAATTAATCACTAGTTTGATTCTATCCAAATTGAGCCATTGGACACATATGAATATTTATGTTTAATCCATGATTTTTTTAGCTTGTCTGTTTAAATTGGTACAATTAATTGAAGTAGAGCTTCTTAACTGTCATGGGGGAAATATTAATATAAGGTTGACGATTTATAAACCTTGGTATTTATTTACTACAAATAACTAAACTACAGTATAATTTGGCCAAACAGCCATGGTATGTAATAATTTAATATTAATTTTTAAAAACTGGTAGGTACTAATACAACAGTCTATAAATAATATATTAAGACAGATTTATTGCAACCAGCTTTCAACAATGTTTTCAATCATAAAACACATTTTGTGTAGCAATATTCGAACCACGATGATTTCATCAACAAACCATTTTTGCTCTCTAGTGCAGTGAGTTAATTGTTCTATATTTACATTTCTACGAGTTACTGTATGCAATTACTGTACTAGTAATGCTGTCACATAAAACGAATGTTATTGTTTTCATTGCCACCAGATATTATTAACGCGTCTAATGTACCACCTAAAAATGTACAGAAATAACAACAACTTCAACTCTGTTTTTATTCGATTTAATTGTATTTTGTATATTTATCCAAAATAGCAGACGATCATCTTAAAAGCCAAATATTAGTTATATTATTCATTAAATTTTGGTAACAATTAATAGTTGTCCTAATATGTAAAATATTTATTAGATAAAGGTAAAATTAGTGTTACCAATTGTCACAATATTTTTTTTATTTTTTATATTATTTTTAGCTGTATTTTTCCTCTTTGAATTCTGTCGTTTGGAATGCCACAGAAACATTGTAGTTTGGCATACGGCCTACTATGTGATATTTTTAAACGCTTGTATACACGTGGTGTCTCATTGTCACATCTCATTCGATTAAATGAGTTTATAATTCTCATCTTTAAAATAACGTTCAAATAGCCCAATATGATCAAACAATTCTTAAGAAAAGATTAGCGTTATAAGCAGTTGCAAAGAGAGGCAGTCAGTAAATCAACGATAACAATATTCAGGAAAATTCTTTAATTCCGTGACGACTGTCAGTAAACTTCTTGGGAATCTATTTCGAGTCTCTCTGCCTCAATACTAAGAATTTTATTTGATATTTTCAATGTCAATGCAGTAATTAAAAAATACTCTCTGAAAAGATGTGCAAGTAAACTTACTCCTTGAGGATTTTATTTTTAAATGGATACATTTAGTTTATCATTTTATTTTTTTTTTTTACTTTAATTGAAATTAATTTGGGGAATAATATTATAGATATATAAACAGTTTCCAATATTCCCGGTACTGTAATCGGATGAACAATTTTGGTAATATATAAAAGAAAATCATACACGAAGACATACTTGTAATTTTATTTTGCCACTAGGTCTGAATATTTTTACTTTTGCTGTTTTAACTTATTTGAGATTACATTGCTTGTTTATCCTAATAATTGTTTGAAATATTGTATGTAGCTTTACTGTCAACACTTCTCAGAATATTATTGTTTTAACATGATACATACTCATCAATTAAAGATTTCACGTAGAAATAAAATTATCTTTTCTTCAGCACAAATTAGTGGTAAAGTATTTCGCTTTGAAATTATTACTTATCCGTAGAAAAATGATTCGATAAATTCAGCAACTGACAGATAGAAACCTAACTCTGTCTTACAGCACTCCTGGGAATTGAGAATATCAGATGGAGCCGGACCAAACCATGCTAATAAACTTTAGTGTTCAACAGGGCTTCTTTGTGGCCCAGTGAAGTATGGATCTTACATACATGTACTGAAATATTTATATTCCTGATCAAATAAGTAATAGTTTTAATAAATAGTTGATAATTGATAATTATCAAAAAAACTGTAGTAGTTCATTAATATAATATCTGGAAGTTACTACTGTAATAGAAGTTGTCTAAAGGCATATTTAATATTATGATAATGAGAAATGTAGCTTTTATTTACTCTAATTGATTCCACAACTTCAGAAATATATATAAATATGTAAATATGCGAATCAAAACTTTAGTAAATTTTACTTAAATTACTATACACCTTCGCTGTCCTGTATTAAAATGCGTAAACCTACTTAAATATAGATTTTTTAACAACTTAAACGAGGAAATAAAATAACTAGTAATATTCATAGTCAACTGTTAAAAAAATGTATAATGGTTGAATCTATTTTCGCACGAGAAAATAACCGAGAATTATATACGGTATTATTTATGAAAACATCTGTTAAAGCAAAATCATATTGATTTTCAATATTATCTTACGAGTTACAAAGTCCAAACAGATGTTTTACGTGGGATTTTAGTTACTCACGACAGCTGATCAGCATCGTGTTTAGCTAAATGCTGTCGACAGTCTGGTTATAAATCACCTAGTTTAACCGGTCAGGTTGACTAATGCAGATAAACATAGGTTGTGTGTTTCGCTTATTAAAATCAAGATAAATGCTTTTCGCATTACTTCACTGCTTAGTAGCCTTTTAATTCGTCGGTAGAATTATATTACTGTGAACTAACTTATTTTATATGGATTGTATGAGGAAATACGTTTAGGTACGTGAATTCTTTTACAATATATAGTTAATTTCGAAAGTATTCAGGTTTAAAATATCGATAACAATAGGATCCTTAACTGAAATTTAGTAACCAAGTATTATTTTAATTGGAGATGGATTTATTATATCACAATTAATTTATTTCTCTTCCAGTTTAGATTTTTTTATATGCCTGAAGGGTTCAATCGTTCCATGTGTTTTAGTTCTTATAGTATAACATTATTTTAAAGATTTTTTCCTACGCCAATAAAAAAAAACTAAAATGTTTACGTTTTAAGATCGTTAACATGTTAACTGCAACACTACAGAACGTTGATTTAAACGAAAACCCTAATTTTTTTATTAACAATTAAAGAGCTACATTATAGCATGAAGCTTTTTTCACCTAGACCACGAAAGCGGCTTTTTGCTTGTATGTAAACTACTGCATTTTAATTTAAACTAGAAGTCGTCCAGTGGTCGAAAACTCGACCAAAAACATCTATTGTACAGTCTTCTCTATTTTCACCCACTCTGTATATTTACACTTATAGGTAATTATAACACTTATATAACACGTATATTACATTTATATAATCACATGTTTTATTAAACATGTGATGGGATTTTCTTCCATTTGTTTAGATTTTCTGTTTGTTTAGTTGTTATTTCGTCACCAGCATGGTGACTCATAAGACCCTTGTTAATTTTTTAAAATTTTAAATTAATTTGTTGTGCTTATTTTGGAGCCTATTTTAATCTATAAAGGGATTCTGCACATTTACTGGAAAATATCTTTCTAACAGTATGCGTAGTTTTTCCTTGCAATGCACACGAGCTTAGGAAAAAGGTTTTAAAGAAACATGCTGGCCTTTTAATATACAGTATAGATTGACACGGTCATTAAAACGTAGTCTCTTGCCTTTCAACACTACTCATGACCAAATACTACGGGTTGGTTTTTATTTAATATGTAGAAACGA